GGGAGGGAGGTGGACTGAAAATGAAGCCTGCTGTGCTGATCACCAGCTTGGCAGTGAATTAGGCAAACAGCAGGAGAGGTGGTCACGTGGGTTGCTGGGTGTGTGTGGAGCCAATGGACCACTAGACTCTGCAGGCTATCAAACAGTCATAGTAGAACCTTTGTGATAGTGTGAGACCTTGGCTTCATAGTTATTTAGAAAAACGAAGGGGAATTGTTATATATAGTGCAGGTAGCCTTTGTAGGAGAGAAGCCTTTGACCCATATTATGATCTCCCTAATTGGCTCAAGTATTTCAACTTTATCAATGTGCTTGTAGATATGAGGAGCCTTTTCCAGAAAGAGAGAGATCACACTGAATGTTTGAAACTGGAATTTTCCACATGTGAAAGTCAAACTTTTCCATAAACCCATTGTTGTTCAAATCAGAAATATGATCTTGATGCATATGGTTGGGTCTATGTGACCACAGGTAGCAAATGTCCCATGGTGTATATGTCTCCTGTCCATTTTGGTGGTTGGATGCATGAGGAAGGCAGACAGGTATATAAGGTACTGTATGCAGTTCCTTCTGTTTTCTTCCAGCATGGCTATTGCTGGCTAGATATGCAAATGGAATGAGGTTGACTCTGATATTCGCCACGATGCACCTGGAACTCCTACTTCCCTTTCTCCTACTTCCCTATGCTCTGAGGTGAACTATTGGAGCATTTGCCCATGAGAATGTGGTTATGACTGCTCCTGTTGCCTCTCCAGGTTCCTCTCTGGTAAAAGGCTTGTTTTTCTTCTTGCATTGGGTTTTGGGTTGATGTCCAGGGGAAATCTATGCATCCTTTTGTCCAAAAGGGTGCTGTACTACACTGCATGTCTTTTTTATTTTTGTACCGTGTAGAGAAAAAGGTGTGCATGAAGAGAGAGAGAGAGAGAGAGAGAGAGAGAGAGAGAGAGAGAGTGTGTGTGTGAGAGAGAGAGAGAGAGAGAGAGAGAGAGAGAGAGAGAGAAAAGCGATTGTAGGCTTTCCTGGAGACTCCCAGTTGCTGGGTTGTTGCTATTTGCAGCATCCATGAAGTGAAAAGATGTTGCAGACAGCATGCCTAACAGCCGTGGTGTGTTACTTATGTGGTGAAGCAGAGAAAAGGCACTGAGGCATCCTGTTGCTGTGAATGGATTGTGTTTTTTTTCCTGCAGGTATCTGTCACTGGATATTGTTGCCATGCCAGTCCAAGAACAGTGGTCCCTAGTAATATTGTCATATATGTTGTGGTATGCCATATGTTTTCTTTCATTATCTGTTTTTGCAGTGGCATTTTTCTCTCTGGAAATTTTGTGCTGGGTAAGTAGAAGATACTGACTACATTACACTGTTTCTGGAACAGCATTAAGTCTGGGACAAGGGAACATGGTCAGAAACTATTCCTAGATCTCTGGTGATTTGGAATTTCTGATTCCTAATTGTTAATAACAAACAAAAGGATCCCCTCTCCCCAAATTTGGTTGATGTAACAAAGAAAGTTTGGAGCAACTAGAATTAGACTTCGCGAAGCCTTTCACGGCCAGGATCTAATGGTTGTTCTGGGTTTTTCAGGCTCTTTGGCCAAGTTCTGAAGGTTGTTCTTCCTGACGTTTTGCCAGTCTCTGTGGACGGCATCTTCAGAGGGCAGCACAGGTTGCTGTCCTCTGAAGAGGCCAGCCACAGAGACTGGTGAAATATTAGGAAGAACCACCTTCAGAACATGGCCAAGGAGCCCGAAAAACCCACAACCATTAGAATTAGACTATTGTGTGAAACGTACTGAGTCCAGTTCAGTCCTGGTTCTGAAATTGTATTCCCAGGCTCAGAATATGCTCAGAGACACCCTGTTCTTTATTTCCTATGTGTAGCTCTTCTGCACATGGTTTTGGCCCGTGTATATTGGGATTTGAGTGAAAAACAGTACTGTAGATCTGACAAATCTGAACTCTGCCCACATTTGATATAAATGGCCTGCTGGTATGGGAAGTGGGCTGGGGTTGCTTGGACCATCTCATACATGCTGAACACCTGCATTTCTCTTATTCTAGTGCAGATTATAATCTGGATATTATCCATTGAGCTTGGTTTGTGGATAGATGACAACCCTGGTGAAAGCAGATAATTTCTGCAAGGGAGATAAGTATTCACACACAATACCATATAAGTTCCTCTAGCTGTTTGGGTTTCTTTTTCTTTATCTGGCAAGGTAGAAGATTATTCTGTTAAAATAATTTAATTCTCTCTTAAATTCTGCAAACGTTCAACGTCCAGATTCAAAAATGGAGTCACCCGCATTACATTCAGAAAAAGTGCTGAAGTCTGAATCAGCAGCATAGATGTCAACGATCTCTCCCTCCTCATTTAGCTGGAGTTTCAGGATGACCCTGCAGGCTTGGATTTGCACCTCTTCTTCAGGATGGATGATAAGGGAGAGAAGACAGTCCGCTAGACGGGAATCATCCCCAAAGAGGACCTCATGAAGGGATGACTCATTGTATTGCCAGTGCACTGCCTGGTAGTGAGGAGTCAAGCGACCTTCACAAAGTCGTTCCACAAACACCAGCAACTCAAATAATAGGTTTCCAGGCTGAGATGTTTGGAAGAGGTTGAGAAATTCAGGGTACACCTTAAAAGAAGTAGCAGCAGAGTCAGTTTCTAGTTTTAAAGAGAGAGAGAGTACAATAAATAGGCTTGGGCATGAGGCTTCAGTTTACTCTGCAGGGGAAGGCTCCCATGCATCAGGGAGTGCATATGCTTATATCTCTTCTTTTAATGAGCCCCTTGAGCTGCATTAGCCTTGGAAGTCTAGCTTTGCCCCCTTCTCATGCCTTTTGCTCCTCTCTTCTCCCAAGTCCTGTTTGCTTTCTCCTCTCCTCCAGTTTTCAGTGGAGACAAGAAGGGAGTACTCACCTGACAATTCATGATGTCGAACAGCAGATCTTCCTTCTGAGCCAGCATGCTAAAGAATTTTAAAACCTGCACCTGAAAATACAGATTATATCATCAGCACAAGTAGAGTGTCTCTCTGTGGGTGAGGGCTTCTAAATGATGCCTTAAAAGACTGATGGTTAAGGAGTTGGCAGCTGGAGCAACACAGCCTTAGTACCTGAGCCAAAGTGTTTCCCAATTGCAGAATTTCCATTAAAGCAGGCATAAGCTTTCTTAGCAGCACATGTGTGTGATCCGGCAACTGTAGCCCATTCAGTAATCGCAGTCCTGCGACATGCACATCGTAATCCCATACACTGGTGATAATTTCAAGAACTTTGGGAATGAATTCCTGTACAAAACAAATAGCATTTTGTGATTGTGAGCCAAGCACCAGAATTATGCAATTTCCGTACGTCAGAGCATGATAAACTTTATGGAAGCATGTCTCTTATGCCATGTTTTACTTCCTGTGATTTCGTTAACCTCATTTTTCACAGTGAAGGAGATTCTAAAATGATTTCCAAAGCTTGACTGTCACATTAATTTTTTTTACCTAATAGTTTGTAATGGTAAGCATAACTTCTCAGTGCTTCCAACATTTAGTGGATTCCAGAATTAGAAAAGTTAGTAGAAAATGATTGCCAGTTGAACTGTTAATGAGTTCAGAACTCCAACTCACCTAAGGTTAAGTTAGAAGGCACATGTTTTGAACAGGTAGTTATTATTAAATTGCCATTTAAGTTGTATTAGGTTACTATAGTCTTACGGGAAAGGAGCAGAAAACTCCTATTGATGTTCCTGCCCCCACCCCACACAATCCTCCTTTTCCTCCAAGGCAAAATAAATTGCTCCCTTCCTGTTTTGTCTCACAAGATCAGCCCTGTGGGGGACGTGAGGCTGAGAGAAAGAGTTGCTGGCCACTCAGTGAGTTTAGCAGCTCAGTGCAGATGTGAACCTATATTTTCTGTGTCCCAACCCAGTACAGTACCATATTAATCACAGCACAGCAGCTTTCTCCTCCCCTGAAACAAACTGTTAGCCTTACCAAGGTAATCAGATCACTCATTCTAAAGGTACTGATACTGAAATACAGTATTTGACAAACCATAGCATTTTTGGAAATGTAGTTGTTGACTAAGAATTGAAACCAATTCAAATTTTAATCTTATGGGGTATTTTTTTTAACAGAACAAAATATGCGGATTAGAACACATACAACATTGTGAATGCTGATGTTTACAATGGTGGAAGGTGAAAATATAGACAAAGGTGTGTTTGTAGACGGAAGGAGACCAACGAAAAAGTTGCCTGTTATTTTCATCAAGTCTCATCAAGTCTCTATTATATACAAGGGACATTTTAGAATAAAATACATTTTAAAAATATATTTCACATTTGGCCTATGGTTGTGATGCCAGAATCGAATAGAGATATGGCCCTGGGAACTGAATCTCTCATAACTGGTAAAAGTTGTCTTCAATGAAATTCAGGAGGGCTAATAATAAAAGCCACAAAGGAACATAAATATGTATCAATCAATAAGTAGTGTCTAATACAGTTGTGTGTTTTTTTTCCCACTGGCAGCAAAAATCTGACATTCTTCAAATAACTTTTTTCTTGCAGGTATTTTGTGTAAGTAACCAAAAAGATCCTTAGCTTGCTATCCTGTATCTGCTTAAATGGGAATAAGTGCCTTTAGACTGAGGGGAGTTAATAAGTGGCCATGTACAAAACAATGGACAACACTGCAGTTGAGCAGATTGTGGTTCAAACAAAAAAAGAATAGTGTTCATGTTAACTACAAGTAGAAATGGTAGTTCTCCCCCTGCAGCACACATAGACCTTCCTGTAGGACTAAAAAAAGCTAGGACTCACCCTGACTTAAGAGAATAATCCAATAATATTTTGAAGCTGTTCACTCCTGTATCATTTAAGATAGGTGCACAAATTTAAGCAAATTTTTAAAGGGAGGATGTGAAGGACTTTTATTTCTCCCAGGGCGAAAATATCACCTCAGCCATTTTAGATGAGGTACCACAGTGTTGCCATGGAAGAGATACATGTGGGAAAGTGTTTACTAGAGATACTTCTGCATTTAACTGACTTCCATCTCCATAATTTGGTAGGAATTCCCCAAGCCAAATTATGGGAGTGACAGACCTATAGCAGCATGAGGTAGAAGATCCCTTCTTACCTGCATTTGGTTCCTTCACTGTTTCTCCAGTCAATAAGAAGAAAAGTGCCCCATGGGACAGTGAATTCTGATGTGCTGCCTCCGTAACCCTATATGGAGGCAGACTCTGTCAGAACTTGCCCTCTCACAGGGCTTTGCCAGTCAGGGAATCTTAACAACTCCCACACAGCAGCAAAATACTTTCTTCCTGCTGACCGAAGAAACATTAAGGGGGCTGTTCTTTTATTATTATTATTATTAAATTTAAACTTTAATTAGAATTAGGTAAAGGGTACAAGGGATGAAAGGAATAAAAAAGGGAGAGAAAGAGAACATAAAATAAATTGGCAAATGTTATTGTTCACGTTACAATGTCTAATCAACTTTCTGCATTTCTATAGTTTAATTGCCCTTCTAGATTTCCACTTACAGAGGGCCTCTTCTGACTCATACTGCTATGGGGCTTTTGCTCTCATAATTTAGTTCAGGAAGCTCCTGCCAAATTATGAAGGAAGAAGTCCCTTAAATACAAAATTCCCATCACTGTGTATAAAATAGTCTCCTGGGTTACTTTGAATGATTGAATTGTGCCCTCTAGTGATCATAAAATGATGGTTGCATACAGTAATACTACCATATTTCCCTGAAAATAAGACAGGGTCTTATATTAATTTTTGCTTCAAAAATGCATTAGGGCTTATTTTCAGGGGATGTTTTATTTTTTTTCCATGTACACAACAATCTACATTTATTCAAATATAGTCATGTCATCTTTTTCTGGTTGCTGCACAATGGTGGAGGACAGGGTTTCACTTAACTGGGGTTTATTTTGGGGGCAGGGATTATATTATCATCCTGAAAAATCATACTAGGGCTTATTTTCAGGTTAGGTCTTATTTTCAGGGAAACAGGATACTGAAGCAGAATAACTGTCCACTTTTCTTTTTATATTATAAGGCTCCAGAGATGGAACTTCCTGGTTAACCCAAATGGGAAAAATACAAAAGAAGTTCTTTATTTCTTTTTCAGAGTCTTTTGTGGCTTTACAATAGAGAGCTTCTGAGATATGGAAGATTTGAGATTCTGAAAAAGAAATCAACAAAATTTATGGAATTTCCTAAGTATTTTGGATTACCTCCATTTGACCCATGTACACAAAATGAGTTTATATGATATTCCAGCAAATAGTGTTGCAAGACTCATGATGAGGATTGTCAGCTGCCAATTAGAATTCAGAGAACATCCTGGAAGGGGTATGTTGGAAGTTTCAATCTTTAAAAGGGCCTGGAAAACCAGCATGACTTTAGCTGCTTGGTAACTTGTTCACTACTGCTGAGAGAGCTCTTCTGACCTTCATTTTGGATTAGATTTATTCTTTGCTGGCCTCCTACTGGTACTGCTGTTCCTACACCACAATTACATTTTTTTAAAAAAAATCTTGCTGCTGTTCCTCCACTTTTGAATTACTTTTTGGATTATTTGGATTCCCTGCTTTTTTCACCTCTTATTGTATCGATTTTTGGAGAGATTTCCCCCCATTTTCTTTATTGTTGCTTGAAGTGCCTGCCTGCTTGACCCTGCTTTCTCTGACCTAGTTTTGGGGGCTCTGTAGATTTGGATATTTTGGGATTTGCTGAAACAACCTGTACCTGAAAACCCCCACAACTGAAGAAGGAGCCCCATGAAAGTGCCTGAGCTGAAAGTCAACGGAATCTTTTCCTTGCCCATCCTAATAAGGCTTATAAAATTATGTGTTGCATGGTTTGCAGCTACTTATAGATGGTCACAACTGACAGAATTCAAATGTGCTATCTCTTGCAGCTTCTCAAGCTGAATTAATACGGGCACATCCATCACTGAAGTGATGATTTTGCTTTGTGTGAAAGAGACATCACAGATCAGACCCTCATGGACCGAGCTTCCATAGCATTTGTCATCACTTTGGACTCATAAATTTTCACTGCAGGAAGTTTACATGTTTAGTTGCAAGCCATTAAATCATGAAACATTGACTAATGTTAAGCGGCAACCATGAATATAGATCAACCGTGATGTGACACATAATGCGTGATATAGAGCAGTGATATCTACTAAAGCAATCACCTGAATTCTAATTCTAAACTTCCAGATTCCAGTGAAGGCTTTGAGGGCATGAAGTGTCTGAATCTTGATGCTGATGTCTGGTTCATCCAAAAATGAGGCCACCAGTTTGATATCCTCGTAGGTACATGCAGATGCCTGAAACAGTAGAACATAAAAAGTTGTGTGTCTGAGTCACTTTATAATCTGAGCCACTTTATAAAGTTGCTTGCAAACAACGTTTTGCAATCTTTCAGACCTATGCTCACCCTATTGGTTTCAATGAATAGAGTTTAACAATGTATTTCTTTATTAAGAACAGAATTCTCAAAATAAGCATCTCTAGGCAAAAACATTAAAAATGTTTAAAATTATGCAGAAATATCGTAAAATGCAATCAAGAAATGAAATTATTGAAACAAGATAAAAGAAAAACAAAGACCAAAAGTAATCAACAATATTAGCTGATGTTTTTGCGGTATTATTAACAGAGTAAGACATTTAGATTTTCAATAAGTATGAACGTCTAAAGAGTTGATGTTATAAATCAGAAAAAACACTTTGGGATTCATAGTGGGAGAGACACAGGAAGGCAGACTCTGATCCCAAGCATATTATGGCTTTAATCACATTGGGAAACTGGCCAACAAGCAGTGCAGGTGGTGTAAAGAATAAAAACAAAAACAAACAAAAAATCTGGGCTCAGCCATCAAAATCCCACATTCTGAACTAGCTATAGTTTTCCATGGCTCTCAGAGGATGATCTATGGCTGAGGAAATCTCTGCCCTCCAAATATTGTTGAGCTGTAGTTCCCATGATCATCTTGCCATTGGCCACATTGGCTGGAGGTGACTGGAACTGGAATTGAACAACAATCAGAAGGCCACCTGGCTCTGATATAAAACGTGTTGTGATAGCCCAAAAGCAAGCTGATCACACCATCATTATGTGTCTGTGTATGTGGCTTTCTGAGTATTTCCACAGACAAACAGAATAGTAATTCAAAAGAAAACAAATGCCCAAATGCATATTTTCTGGTTTAAGGTGTGTTGGTCAGTATCCTCTTGTCTAATAGGAGTGACATCACATTTTGTGGCAGAGTGCTGCTAATTGGAGAGTTCCTCTTTAGAGATGGACTATTTATATTCCTCTCCCTTTGAACCCACCCGCTCCAGAACCGGCTGGTTCTCTTACTGCTTGCAGTGAGGCGTGTGCAGCCATCATTGTTCACGCTGTGCCAACTGCAGAACTAGCCCAACCGGCACTTCCCCACATCCCTGTGCTGCTGAACATTCAGCATCTGAACGGAGAGACTCACCAACCTGCCTCCTCGCCGGAGTGGTCAGCAGCACAGGGAGGCGAGGCAGCACCTGTCGGGCTACTTCTGCAATTGGTATGTTGTGGACAATGATGGCTGTGTGAACTGTGCCCAAGCAGTAAATGGTCTGGCCAATTCTGGGAAGGCAAGTCCAAAGGGCCCAGCTACCTGTCGTGGTGATATTCATATTTGTCTCCCCAGGAGACGAATGTAAATATCCCATCTCTATTTCTTTTCTTGATTTCAAAGTGCATGTGACTTTGTATCATTGTACAAGTCATACATATCTCAAAACAGAAAAAATGACTCCTTAACTGATAGCTATCTGCCATGGCTGGTGATATCATTCCTATTCTGCAGGTAGAGCTACATCACAGGATACTTTCTGCATTCTTTTTAAAGTTGATACAATGTACTTATTTATTTAAATTATTTTTACTCCACTTTTCTTTTTAAAAGGACTGAAGGTGGTTTGAAAAAACTAAGACAATATTTAAAAGCTAAAAACAGTGAGTATACAAATATTTTAAAAAGAATTAAACAAGTATTATATTAAAAATGGTCAATAAAATCACATTTAAAAACAAGAGCACAACAATCCATTAAAAATATCCTCTGCTTAAAAACCTGGTTTATGAGAGGATTATTACATTTATAGTCTCATCTTTCTGCTTGCATGAAACTAAGGTTTGCAGAAATAGGTTTCCCACCCACCCACTGACCAAACGTAGATTTACGTGGCTTCAGTGACCTTGCTTTATCATTACCCCATGCTTTCCATGGTGTTTGTGTCTCACTTTATGGGAACGACACCTTCCTTAAACTGGGGATTGCAGTGTCCTGATGGTTTAAAACAGACTGGAGCACAATGTAAAGAAAAAAAGGGTGCCCAAGGAGATGGTGAAAGTCTCCTTCCACCACCCTCCCCAACGTACACCCGCTTCAAGATCTAAGTCTGGTCAGGACCTCGGTGCGAAGCTTATTTTTGCCATCTTTAATTTCCATCCAGGCAGACTCTAAACCTAGGAAGCAGGGGCTGAAATAGAGGAAGCAGCAGAAAGTGGGGCAGGGTGGTAAAGCAACCTTGCATTCTTCATGTGCTTTAAATCAGCCCCACCATCCTGTGCTGTCCACGAGACAGAGAAACCTATGTTTAACAGAATGGGCAGAAACCATCAGGTGCGCTTTAGTTTTGAACCTGGCTATGAGTAGTAAAACACAGCTATCCTTCCTGCACCAGATGGTTTTTTGGCTTGCTTTTCTACCACTCTGCTGTACATCTTGCAATTCCGGACTCTTACTTCTGTGTCCAGTAGATAAATGCATCGGGTAATGCCGTGGAGTATCATATTCTTGGAGTAGTCATCCAACCTCGGATCGAGGGAGAGCAGGAGTCCCCTGACCTCTGTAGAGTCCACCACACTTTTAGACTGGTGTGCTATGGCAAGTCCTAAAAACAGAATGGACATTACTGGCAGCCCTAAGCATAACAAGAAGGCAAAAGAAGGAGTGCCAGTGAATGATAAAACCAGTCTGGAAGGAAGCGTGCCCTGAACTGAATGAAAATGGCAAATATAATTTGACTAGATCCTCTGATAAGTCACAGTTCTACAGGAACCCTGGCTTCCTGTGGATGATATCACATACTGGATCCCATTGCGGTTTCTCCCAGTAATGCAGCGAGTGTAACTAAATAAAGCATTGTCCATCCCCAGGAGCCAGTTCTCTGTCTCTCTCTGTCTCTTTTTCTTCTTCTTCTTCTTCCACAAGACTGAAAGAGAAACCATGGTTTATTTTAGGTTTGTTTCTCTGGCTCGTTTGGAGAGGAACACCAGAAATGAATGGACATGCCCAAGAGCAAACTGCTTATGAATTACACTGGGCCTATCTTCAAAAAAAGACAGTATATTCAAATATATTCTTGGAATTCAACAAAAAGCTATTTACAGTATTATGCTTCTCAAATGTTCTCAGAATTCTGGTTCTCAGAAGCAAGACAATGGCAGACAAAGGTATGCAATCACTTGGAGATATATGACATGTATTTCATAGCGGTCTTCAGTGCAATAAGCAGATTGCTCCATCTTCATGAGACTGGCAAAACCTAAGCGTCTATACCTCCACCCCACCTCTCAGGGACATGTATGGCAGGAACTCGAAGACAGACAAGCCCTCTGTTGCAAAGTTTAAGAGACCATACTTAGCATTTTCCAGCTGGTCACCCTCCAAAAGTATGGTAGTATCTGGTCTCATCATCCCTACACAGCACAGATAGTGACATGCTGGCTGGGGATAATGGAAACTGTGGTGTGACACATCTAGAGGGAACTGCATTGGGAAAGGCTGATGTGTTGGATTAAGTTAGTAGAAAATTCCTGACCAAACTGGTTAAGGTCCACCAGCCTTTGGTGCATCTGACAGCCCACTTTATGGCTGATTAACTCTGCAACAAAAAAAACTAGCCCGTGGTTCTTTATATGAGTGTCACTGACCCATACATAGGGCTTCAGTTTTGCAGTTTTTATTGTTTTGTTGTACGGCACCATGCAATGATGCCTGATTTGGCCCAGATATACCTTATTCCCATACTGGCATCTGGAGCACATTCAAAATATCTGTCCATACTCTCGTTTGATAGTTGAGTGTTCAACCAGGGCTGCATGGAAATGTACCCAAATACCTGAAAAACATGTGGGAGGCTCAAAGCTACTTCCAAAACACAGCAAAATGCAACAGGAATGTTGCACTCTTACCCCAAATCCACACATTACTCACTGGCTAAAGTCAGTGGCTCTGGGTTGTAGGGGGGGCTCTTGATCCCTGCTAAGATGGTCTTGGCTACGAGAAAGATGGCCCCGGCCCCTGCAGCTGCAGAGACCACATTTTTTGTTGTTACCAGATCTAAATACTTCATCTTGTTGCCTTCAACTCCCAGGGCCCCGATCCAGAACCCTGATCTCCAGCAGGCCTCCAGTGGAAGCACTAGACTGGTCACTGCATGGTTTGTGATGTCACCACATTCTAGCATCAGATCTTTCTGACATGCCATCTCAACATATAAGGAAAGGAAGGATGTAGCGGGAACTGAGGGTCCTGCTTCCTGATGCTCTTCTGAACAGGCCACTCTTTGTTTCAACTGTAGAATAGCCCAGGCAACCAGCTTTCCACCATGCGGGTCAAGGCTGGCAGAGCTCTTAACTGAAGGAACACAAGCACAGTGGCCAATAGGCTGTGCTCTGATCTCCCTGCCATGCTAAGTTTAGAATCTTACAGCCTTGCAGTTTGTTTGGAAATATTCATATACATTTCATAGCAAGTGCATTTCACTGACTTAAGCTAGCTGTGAAATGTTAACTATATTTGAATTAATAACCCCCTGTCAAAATCCTTCTTCCATTACTTTGTCACACTTAAAGTGATTAGGAAATGGAAGCCTGCATAGGAATGATTCCTGCTGAATGATACAGGGCAAAGCAAATGGGCTGCACTCACTATGAGTCACAAAAGGGGAGGGAAAAGATGCCCCACGTCTGGACACTGAGCCTCACAGGGGCTCAGCTCCCACTCGGACAGTGTTCCTGGCTGCCATACATTCATTTCCATGGGGAAAAGGAAAGTATTCTAAAAGGAAAACCAGATGCCCAGATGCAGCTTGCAGGAGAAATAAAATCAATGTGTGTAGACTTCTGGGCATTCAAGCACACCGTGGGCCCAGAAGAATCCTTGCAATCTATGTACCACTCTCACATTGTAACTGATAGATCATAGATGCAAACAGAAACATGCATACATTTCTCTTAATAAATTGCAAGAGCAGCGTTCTGAGACATTCTCTTTTCTGTAGGGGGAAAAAAAAGGACAAGATGGTGTCCCCCCCCCCAATCCCTTATTGCATCTATGGAAGCATAACAGATTTGTGGTTGCATCCTCCTTCAACACTGATTAATGGGACAGTTGACTGTGATGATAGGAACCTCATTTTAGGGGAGGTGGACAGATGGTGTGGCACACACAGCACTTGTCTTCCAACAGAGGGCAATGGCTGGGGACTCAGGTGGAAGAGCTGGGAAGCTGCCACTGCTACTGCCCAGCACCAGCATCCACCCACTTCATGGCTGGTTTGGTCCTGACCATGCGCTGCTGCTTGCTTGAAGTGCTCAAGGGAAATGAAAGAACAAGCACCTCCTCCTTCCCCTTGGAGCTGCTGGAGCTGCAGGTGCTTGGCTGAATTGTTCATGGGGTACTACAGCACACCCATCACCACCTCCCTCCTTCTTATCCTTAATTAAAAATAACTGCCATTTTCTTGGAATATAAGGCATAGATGGGGCTGAAGGACTCACCTATCCCATATCATACTTAAGTTCTTGATTTTGAAGGAAGTAAAAGCAGAGTGTAGCCACACACGTATGCTGGATTTTAGGAAAGCCAATTTTAATAAAATCAGAACGATGACAGGTAAGGTCCCATGACATGAGGACCTAACAAGAAAATAGGTCCAAGATGGGTGGGAGTTTCTTGTAAAGGAAATTCTAAGTGTTTCAGCTTGTCAAGACTGGCAATGTGCGTTTTGAATTATTTGGACGACAGATCCCATAATTCTTTCTGGGAGCACCACTTGCAGACCTTAGGGATACCTAAATTGTGCTTGCCTAGAGAGAAGGCTCAGCTGTCAGGCTTCATGCTTTGGGTAGACTTAACTTTCCATTTGAAAAAGAAGCGACACAATGTTTGGTTGCTGGGGAGCTTCTTTTTCAAACAGGAAGTTAGGATGATCCAAGGAATGAAACCTGCCAGCTGGGCTTTCTCTCTAGGCAGGCACAATTTAGGCATCCCTAAGGTCTGTACGTGGTACTCCCAGAAAGGAGAATTATGGGATCTGTCGTCCAAAAAATCCAAAATGCATATTGCCAGTCTTGACAAGCTGAAACACCTTGTCTCATCTGAGAAACAAGACATGATGTGAATCCTTTACACCCACCAGATATTTCAAAACGTTTCTGCACAATGCCCACTATACAACTACTCTCCCGGCATCAGATGCTCACACAAATACAGGAAGGAGTTAAATGCAGAAGAGCATGCACACATTTTGTAAAAGGTGGACCCAATCGAAGGAACAACAAGTTGTTGGTAAGCTGTTGCTGATGAGCTTTTCACTAGGCAAAACAAATAGTCTAACACTACCCTAAGACTCCAAATGATAACAATAGACTACAAAGCAATACTGTAAAACATTTAGCTGAAACTTAGTTACAACAGCCAGAGCACAACGAATGTTTGCAAAATTTCAAAAAATCTAACAATTGTCTACTCACTTGGCTCCTTGTGCCAGACATGCAGAAATTCTGGCATTCCTCCAAGCACAGCCATTGGGCTGAGAACACTTGTCAGACATGCTAAACTGTTGTCTTATTCAAAGCAAAGACAGCGCCTCAAGAGGGCGCTCTCGTTCAAAGTTAGAAATCTCACTTGGCCATAAATAAGAGGAGGCAGTTACTTATGTTAGGCTTTTTAGGACTTTATAAAGTATCTTGAATTGTATGTAAGTGAACATAAGAATAGATGCAGCTGCTGCAATAAGCAACATATAGTCTCCTTTTATATATGCATATGATAGCAAGTGTGGTGTCGTGATGGACTAGGATTCAGGAGATTTGTGTTCAAATCCCACCTTGCCTATAGAACTCAATGGGGAGTGGCAACAGTAAAGCCATCCTTAAACATCTCCCACAGTTTGAAGACCCGCTTAGGGTTAAGGCAAGCCAGATGTGACTTGAGGGCATATAATGACCTCCAGTGGTGCCTCGCTAGACAGTTACCCCGCATGACAGTTTTTTTCGCTAGACATTGACTTTTTGCGATCGCTATAGCGATTCGCAAAACAGTGATTCCTATGGGGGAATTTTGCTGGACAATGTTTGGTCCCTGCTTTGCAAACCGATTTTCAGTAGATGACAATTTGCTTTTCGCTAGACAATGATTTCGCTAAACAGCGATTTCAGTGGAATGGATTATCATCTTTTAGCGATGCACCACTGTATATGGAAAACATAAATACACCATTACCAAGTCTATATCATGGCTATTGATGTGTTTCTGAGGTGACCCCAGGATGGAGCAAAGAGCCCAGGGGCACTCAGGGGATGAAGTGGCTCTCCCCCAAGATAAATCTGGGATTTATGGGGTTAAAAAAGTTAAAATAAAAAAATTAATGCTATGTAGTTAAAAGTGGAGAAAAGGGAATCTAAAGTGTTTGTGCCTTATAAGGAATTATAAGTGGCCAAAGGGAGAGGAGCCTGTTGCTTTCAAACAGCTCCGTTCCCATGAAGCCCACAACTTCACCTGCACACTAGAGTGACTTTGAATCTTTGGGGGAAGCCGCTGGTCTGTAGCAGCCAGTGCCTGCCATCTTTTTTCCACTGCAATTTGAAGTGAGGAACTTCTGTTGATTTGGCCTATTGGGCATTCTTGGTGTTTTAAAAAAAAAGTCTTATGCTATATTGCAAGAACTGCCTCCATGTGCAGTTATGTATAGCGAAAGGAATGCCTGCATTCCAGTGTGGATTTTAAGCAGTGCACTCTTCCATTTTAGGTGCTGTCTTTTCTTTTCTTATTGGAACAGAAGTGTCACTGCCAAAGGTCATAACCGCTGTGTTCTGTTCTCTGTTTCCAGCACACTTTGTGCTGGAGGCAGGCCAATAATTCTGCCAGAAATCATTCAGATGTTGTGGTGACACCCCCTCCATTCCCTATATTACAACTGTTTGCTTTTCCCCATTTGTGTTACTTGGATCCCTCTGCCCACCCCCCAGAAGTTTGGAAACACATAAATGCTGCCATAGATTCAGACAATGATCAGGTTGGAGTGTTTTTGAAAGGGTGCAGAACAGAACAGGTGACAATATGTGTACTCTACCTATGAAGCCGCAACACCCATGTGAAACTTTAGGTATCTATACACAACAGGCTAAATGCCATCCCTTTATCACGGTTGTAAAAATCACATTGAATCAAATCTACAACAGCATGGTGTGCATTAACAATACCTCAAAGTGCTACAAATATATTTGGATGTGCTTTTAAAGCACCCTTTAATTGTGCAGTATGGCAGCTCATGCATGCCTAGAGAACAACCAGGTGCAGTCCAGTAGTACAAAACACACACATACTTTTTGCACACTTGTGAAATGAATGCTCAACTAAACCATTACAAAACCAACCCCAGTTAAAAGTCAGCTCAGCACTGAGCTATAATACAATGGGCAGTACAGATGAGTATGGCATGAAAAAAATGATCTGGAAAATAAATGGTATTCATTGTTATGGCTTTATAGATAGTTGTGGCTTCATAGGTAGGTTGCAGGCATGTGCATTGGCCCCCAAACCAGGTCTGTGCCCAAATAGAAATACACATATTGGTGCCTGATCTTTTCCATGCCCTTCCAAAAACACACAGCCTCATCTTTGCCTGGGTCGGTGGCAGCATTTGTGTGTTTCCAGATTCCCAGGGTGGAAAACCCATTCCCACAAATGGGAAAAAGCAAACAGCTATAAGATAGGGGGAATGGCACCATCAGAATTATTTCTAGTAGAATTATTTGCTTGCATCCAACACAAAGAATAGAGGGAACAGGACACCGATATTATTACCTTTGATAGTGACACCTCCTTTCCGCTAAGAAAAAAAAAGGGGGGGTTATAAAAAAATTACTGAATAGTGAAACAAACCACCAAGCAATGTTCTACTGTTAGGGGGACAGTAGTCATTGCAACATATAGTTTTCTGTTGCTGACCCCTGAGACTTTAACATTTATTGAGGTCTGGAATATACCAATGTGCTCTGAGAAAGATGGAAGGGTGCTGTGAAAAGGAAGTTGCCATGGTCATAGGTTCATAATGTTGGAGTGGGTCTTGTGCGTCAGTTCAACCCCTGCTCAGTGAAAAATCCTAGAGTGACCCCAATCGTTGACTGCACAGCCTC